GAGAATCGCCCCGCGAGAGGCACCAGCCCTTGCACTGCAGCTGTATCCGAGGGGTAGCACGCAAAAAATGAGTCTCAGATGTCTGGAATGACTCCTGGTATGAGCGTCCCCTGACTTTGTGCAGGGCGGAAGGTAGCCCTGCAGGAACACATCAGGAAAAAGAAAACCCTCCAGCTCCGGGGTGCGGAATAACGGGGGGCCCTACGAGTATCACAGAGCCTCCCCGTCGCTCTGCCGGATCTTCAAAGGTAGTTTTTCTTGCAGTCCAGCCACTGCTGGGCTTTTCATAGGAAAAGTTTAACTAAGTAATTTCTTGTAAATCTTTCACAGCTTGGAGGTGTTTACTTTGTTTGCAGGGTCCTTCTGCTGCTGCTGGATTTGTGCCACCCATTTGTGTCACGGCTAGACAAAGCACGGAGAGGTTTCTTGAAATTTGGTGGTGTGGCTGCTGGGAAAGCTCAGTTAGCAGTCGGATTTGGGTAAGTTTTCTTAAAAGTATTCACTAAGCAGCTAACTATTGGAGTCAGGCAAAGGTGAAGTGTATCAGGATAAAAAAAAAATAAATAAAAATTAATGTAGGAAGTCAAGAGAGAAGAGGGAGTTTGTCCTAACTTGTCCTGGCAGGGCAGCAACGGTCTTTCCGTAGGTCCACTGTGGTCATGCCACAGCCAGAGTGAGCAGGGAACACAAAATCCTGCTGTCCCTCAACTAAAAGCACTAGTGGTATTGCTGTGGCTGAAAGAAAACAGGGCGGTTTGGTAGTCTCCCCAGCCTTGAGGGTGTCTCAGACATTGTGGGGAAGGGGCAGGCAGAAAACCTCTCTACTGCTACCCAGATAGGGATTTTTGTTTTGTAATATTCACTCTGTTTTAAAAAAAAAAAAACAAACAAACCACAAATATCATGAGGAGATACAGAGTGACTTTGGTCCACTCCTAAAGATCCTTGGTGCTGCACGGGTAGAGGGAACAAGCCTACTTGGGCAGCAGAGCCCGGAGAGGACGTGGTGCTGGATAAGGGCATCTACTTTCCAGCACCTCCGTGGCTGCTCCTCTGCCTTCACGTCCTCTTTCTGCTGGTCTCACTGACCTGCGGGAGAGGGACAAGATGGCCATAGGCTGTTGTTCGGGCAAGGCGTGTCAAAGCTTGTGGTAGATCAATCACAAGACTTCAGTGATTTTTACAAAGCCCTTTATTTTTTTTTGTCTTCAGGCTTATAAAAACTGTTACTCAAAACGAAAATGTTTAAAACTTTACAATATGTACAATATGAGAAATAAATTATGTTTTAAGTCATACAAAAACCACAATATACAAATAGGGCTTTGAAACCACTCTAAGTATGGCACAGTGACAAGTCACAGATACTTACCAGAGGCTTCCGTTATTGAAGCCTTTGCAAAAAAAAAAAAAAAAAAACAAAAAAAAAAAAAAAAAAAACTGCAGGCCTCAGAAGGACTTGCGAAGTCTTCAGAACTCAGTGCACCATCTGGCAACACCATTTTTTTTAAATTTTGTTTTTTTGAGATTGCCTTTCTCCACGCCAAAAGTTCAAGAGTCGTTACACCAAGTCTCCTTCCAAAAATACAAAAAAAAAAAATAATCTAGTTCACCTCTGACAAGGTCCACTCTGCTGTAGCGAACAGGACGGCTGTAGGGAGTCTGTCGAACTCGGAGCAAAGCCAAGTTCATCTGCAACTGGGGAATCCAATGGGGACGTTGTGGCAACGAGAGTAGGATGTCATCTGTTTGGCTCAGTTAACTACTTAGCACAAAAGTAAGGTTTTAATTACGCACCGGTACTACAACAGCATCTGAACAGAGGCGAACGCATTCTCAGTAGTTAAAAGGACTGGTGCAAAGCTCTCTGGACATGATACAGTTCATACCTTCCTCCTCCCCGATCAACACATGGCACCAGACAAAGAGCAACACATAGGACCGGACAGTCTCACTGCCGACACCGACCGGGGAGCGAGGAGCAGCTGCCAACACCATCACCGGCCGTCCGCACCGTGTTCTGGCCTAGGTACAGGGAGGACGGAGTGCTACCTTCTTCTAAGGTAATATATGGAGATTTCAGGATCAGCCAGACACAGAACGGATTACTTTTTAAGGCAAGCAAAGGACAACTTGAAGTTAAGTGGCATTGTGCTTATTCCCACCCCTCCCCTGAGCAACCCCCCACACTTGACCCGCGCTGGTCATGTCTTCCCACAGCGCTATTGGACCCGCGGTAACGCCTACACTAGATGGGAATTTGTTCTTAGCAGCTCTGTCAGCAAGAGTCTGATGGGCAGTTAGCGTAGTTATCTTCTCAACTCCACTGGCAGGCAGACCAGAAGATCATTGCTGAGGTCTTAGATCTGTGAAAAATCTCGTCCGTAGTCCTGGTTAACGGAGGCAGGGCAAGAAACGCGGCGCGTGACAGCTCAAGGTAAGGTTAAATGCACAAACCAGGCTCCCTGGGGAAGGGAGAATGTCAGTTTAGTTATTCTACTTCTAGGACCGCAGTCCGTCAATTGCTCCTCGGTTTCTTGCATCGGATCCGGGCTGTTTGGTCCCGAAGCAGCTAGTTGCTTTAAGTGCTACCAAGCCAGACTTTTGCCAGAGCATCTTGCCACCCGTGTGGTCTTCGTGCATCTAGGTTGCTCAGTTGTGTGTCTTTAGAGAAGGCTTCAGAGCAAATTTGAGACAGATCTGGAAAAAAACAGAGGGGGGGGGGGGAATAAATCTCATTAAATGCAGAAGTTCAGAGGAGTAATAAAGGATTCCTAAGAAACTCTGGCACACCAAGAACAGGTTTAGACAGTACGGGTCGGTATTTTATTCTGTCAAAGCAGCACTTTGCCCAGTAGGTACTCGGTGAGAGCCTGCAGCAGGCATTATGCATGCAAGTAGGCTGCAAACAGAAATTACAGGTCTTGACGCTAGACTCTGCCTGTCTGGATCCTTTCAGGGTGGACAGATGTTTGCAGACTCAGTCTCAGAGTAGGGAACTATAATCTTCCAGTGACTTGGCAGGGATGGAGAGCTGAAGAGCAAGTCATTGCTGGTCATCGCTGGGAGGAAGGATAGTTTCCTAGAAATCGTAGTGCTCTGGAGCTCAGATCGGCTCCTCTGCCTCGTGCGAAAGCTGTGCTCCGTGAGTAAGCAGGAAGGGCACATCTGCCAGCAATTCTGTTTTATGGGGGTCACTGAGTAGTGAGGCATATCAAAACAGCCTTTTATTGTACCTGCAGGAGTATTTACTTGATCTTTCAAGACTTGTGGCAGAGCAACAAGTTGCTGCACAGGGGTTTCATTCACAGAATTCTTTGCTACTGCGTGTAGCGCGGCGTGCTGGTTTCTGCCCAACCTGGAATGGTACCAGCTTCCGTTTCTGAGCGGCACTCTGCCACCCGAGAAGGTTGTGCAAAGCACGACTTCCACAGGGCTTTGCTAGCCCTAACAAGCGCTTCGTCTCCGGATGAGAAGCGACAAAGCTCAAAGTTTACAAATGGAAATTTAAGAGAGGCCAAAAGGCTGGGCTTCATCTGAAAGAGGCGATCGTTTAGTCAAATGAAGAGGAACTCATTCATAACATGACTAGAGGCAATCTGAAGCAATCAAGCTGTCACTGCTGGGACCAGACTTACTGGAAGTCATGCTCTGAGGACTGATCCTAGGTGTCTGGAAAGTCCCCGCGGAGGTTAAGCCGGGCTGAGATGCTCTGGCAATGGCTGAGTTTGCACTCTCCTGAGCCGGAGGAGATTAGCACAGCCGGAGGTGAAACGGTAGGAGTCAGTACTGTAACACCGGGGCAAGTCCTCAGCTGTGCCTTGCTCACGTAGCTGAGCCCAAACTCAATCAAGAGATTTCTTGGCAGCTCGAGGGTGAAACGATCTTTGAGGCAATCCCCTGCACTCCCAGCTTTCCTCTATTTTACAGGGCCATTAATAGATGCTGCTAATTAGCTCTCTGCTATCACACAGGTCTTGGATATTGGTAGCCCCTCATTTTTAGCATCTACCACAATAGTAAGCAGACGAGTTCTTTAAACCCAAGGATTGGGTTATACCAATTTGGTAATAAGCACGGGAAGGTACAAGATGACAAACCAAGATCAGAAGTGAGGATAATATCGCCTAGTTAGCGATAGTTAAGGCATACAGGAAAATTAAGTGTAATAGCTGGGAAACTTGGGCTAGAATTTATTAACCCTTTGTTTGAAAGAAAAAAAAAGAGGTTCTAGGAGTCTAAACACAACAAAAAACCACCTGGCTCCACTCATCCCAGCGCAGCCACATGCATCCGGCAAGATTTCTCTTAGCTGATTTTTTTTCCCCTTACCTTTTTTGCCATTCCTCTGTGCACTTCACAAACCAGAGCTCTTTGCCAGGAGCTATACTGGTCAGCTGGGAATCCTCCACGCAGAAAGCAAACCTAGGAGGAGGAATCAGAAGTCAAGAGAAGGTCCCTGTTGTCTCCACGTTTAACAAATAACAGGGAATATGGATTGCAGCTAATTGCAGGATGAGTTGTTTGATTTGACATCCTTCCTGTGGAGCATCTCGATACACCATTAAGCTGTTGAATGGCTGTTTTATTTCCTACTTTAATATTGTATTTGGGGATCTTTGCTTCTACTACAGCTCTGTTTCACAGACTGTAGAAACTAGGATGCAGAATACCTTACGCGTGGTAGGAGATGCTTATTTAAAGCTCTGAGAAATGTGGGAAAATTGTCACTATCAACTGCTGTTCTTTGACAGATCTGGGTTACCTTCAGAACAACATTACTGCAAGATTTGGGAGTGTAGTGCTACGTGCTTGGCAGCTTCACTTCTCATTGGTTGCTCAGGTAACTTTCCAATTACAGAGACGTCAGAAGGAGCAATATAGTGCTTAAGGAGTTGGTGTCACCGTGTCATCAGTTGCAGTTTTAGGTCTAGCTTGTTGTGCCAAATCAGCACGTTATGCCTGTAAATAATAGCCATGCCCATCTGTTTCATTTTTTTTGGCGCTGTCGGTACTTTAACCCTTCAGGTATGATTTAAACCATCTTGACGTAGATTAATTTAGTCCCCAGGGGCAGGCAAGGCAGTGTCACAGTATCTAAATTAAAGCAAAAAAAAAACATCTTAGATCTGATCTGCAGTGACTAGTTTTGCTTAAAGCCTAGTTTGCAACTTCATGCTGGCCAGTAACCCCCTACTCCTACACCAGCATTAGCTGGTAACACTAAAAAAGACAGTTTGGGATACCAGCTAAGTTTAAACCCTCAACTTTCCTTGCTAGATTCTACGTATTTCTCCTTTTGACTGAAGTTTCGAGTCAGCTCACATGCAGTCTAATATGATTATTACCTCTGTTGTGTTTCCCCCGATTTCACACGTATACGTCTGATATGCAGTTCCTGGGTAGACTTTGCGGGCCGATACCAGTAGCTCTTCAGCTCTTTCCATAGATCGTACCACGACTGAGACATTCCCTCCCAGGTGAGCTTTATTTTTAAAAGTTCACCCATGTCCTTTTCCGTATAGACCAGGAAGGTGTTAGTAGCATTTAGGCCAATTTGATCGAGCCTGAAAGACAAGCAGAGACTCAACGTTTCTTCCTTATGGAAGCGTGCCAGATGCTCATTGGTTCCATGCAAGAAGTTAAAAAGCCCTTTGCAGCTTATCAAGTGCTCCACGTTCAACTGTCACCGGCTAATTACCGATTACACCAGAGAAAGTGAGCTTGGCTAGCTGGTTCATTACAATGCATCATGTGTTTGGCTCAGCCATCCTCCCATAGTGTAAAGGTTTCTTCTGGGAGAGGCCAAACGAGGTCAACAATGCCTCCAGAGATATGGGGGCTTTCAGACTATATCCAAATGGTAGAGGGGAAAAGCAAAACAAAATACGTCGGCAACGAGCCGTGAAGGCTAATATATAGAGGACTGGGCATATCAAATTGCTTTCTCAGCAATAAATTATAATTAAATAAGTAGATGAAGAGTTTTTTTGGAATGGTGATGAAGTGAGGCTGCTAGGCTGAGGTGCAAGGCTTGTGTTACCTGAGGAACAAGAGTAACGCCACCTTGTCTCATCCCATGGCCGCCTTAGCTGACAACAGGCCACCTTACTTACATTTCTAACGAGAGAGGTTCTGAGTCTCCATTGGTGCCGTGAAGGGTGACGGAGAAAGTGGGATCAGCCTCTCCCAAGCTCTTGTAGCTGAAGACGTGCATTTTCATCTGATAATGGTAGACTGGAGAGAAACAAGGAGAGCAGAGATGGAAGCAACTTGGTTGAGAGACAAAATTGCTCGGTGTCGCTCTTTGCCAGCCAACACTATTTCCCAAAGGCTAGACCTGTATTTATGACCCTGTATTTATTGAGACGTCACTGATCCCTTTTTCCTGCCCTTACTGATTACGAAGCTGACATTTACACAACAACAGCAGCAGCTCCACTCTGGGGAGGGCTCCCCAAACCTTACACTGCCCTAAGATTGGGGTGGTTGTGCAAGTAGGACATCTGTACGCTGTAGTCCTGGCTCAAAAGGCAGAGTGTCCTTACGGCCAGAGTCCCGTTGATTTTACACGGAGGAAGGAGCACAGTGATGCCACAGGACAGCAATGCAGGCGGGTAAGAGCGAAAGACTAATGCCCAGTGCTGCGCTGCTTTGTGGTGACACTACTCTTCCTCTCTTTCCCAACATTGACTTTGGGAGTCTGCTCTTAAGAGATGAGGCTATGCTCTTTCTAAGAGGGATAGCGTACCTTTGAATGGCATGTCAGCCCTTGTTTTTAAGTACATCTTGCTGTTTCTTTTGTTCCGTGTTTTCCTGGCGTTGTAGCCGATGCCGTTGCAGCGGTTCTTCCGGCAGCTCAGGCAGATGCCCTTCTTGAAGCGACTGGAATCAGTACATTGGAAGGCGAAGCTTTGTTTATCTTGATTCACGAGGGAGTCCACGAAGAGGTGCACAGACCGCTCGTGTTCACATTTAACGACTTCACCAATCGCTAGAGAAGCAGAGTTGCAAGGGATATATTTTATTTAAGCATTTATCACCCCAGCAGCTGGGAAAATATAATGAGTTATGCCTTTTTATAGCCCAACATGAGTTGAGCGTGGCCAAACTTGAACATTTTTCAAACAGTAGCAATTCAAGAGGTTAGTGGAAGATGCTTGAAGAGGACCATTTGCTTAGTGTCTATCATGAAGAGTGCTTTCAAGAGGATTCTAGACCCTGCATAAGAAGACCATAGTTTTTGATCAGGTGTTAAGAGTGAGAACATGCTACTTCAGAATCAAAAGGAGGTCTAGTTTCTAGCAAGTGTCCAGTAGTACAGGCAGTTTAGAAGGAAAAAATAGTTTTCTCTGCTCTTGTAAATAAGATCATCCCTCAGCATCAACCCAAGACTATTTGTGAAAAGCAGACACTGGCTAGAGGCAAAATAAGTAATGAGAACTTACTCCCATAGGCGATTGCTCCCAAGACATCGCTTAATCCACAGCCAGGCTGGAAGTCTCCTCCATTGGGGTAGATGTCAACATGGCCTACAGGCATCTGGATCCCAATGCTAACACCGAGTGTTTCCCTTGTGTAGGTGTGAAGGACATCCACAAAGTTAGCATCATCAGGGGAGAGGCGCCTGCTAGGGTCCACTCCTTCAAACATAGGGCCAGCCGGATCCAGGCCTGGGGTTAGAGACAGCATGCAAGATGCCAAGTTAGGAATTGGGTTATTTCATACAGAATATAGCGAGGAGCCTGTTACTAGGAGCTCTCCTAACCAGATGCTACAGAGGGAGAGTCCCTTCCTCATCCCAGACACTGTCTCCCAAGATCTCTTCACCACGGGCTCACTGAGGGAACAAAGGGAGATGTCCCATACTGCTTTTGGTGCAATACAACCCAGTAGTAGCACCAGTTTGCTCTACAGCGATGGCTTCAGACTACCTGTTGGAAGCCATGAGTCTTTGCTAGGTCACAGTGAAGAGATACTTCAAGAGGTAGCAGGTGATTGAACACCAGATGAGGTCTAGCGCCCCATGGAGACTGTTGGTAGCCAAAGCTGCCTTGGCTACACTTAGTCTGGTTTCAGATCGCACATACGGAGGGACTGTTACAAGTTTAAGCAGCAGCTGGGTGACCCCTGGATCTGAGAGCCCATGACAGGTTTGGGAATTTCGGTTAACCTCTGAGCCTCACCCCCAACCTGAAGCTGCGCTCTTCAGCCATTCCCCAACTTGATTGTTAGGTGATTATTTTTTTCCTGCTTGACCGAATAGAGATATTTATTGCGAGGCTCTGAGGAAGTCTTGCTGCCAGTGTCACATTTAAATGCTTAAT